AGACTGATTATAATGTGACTAATGTTAATCTATACATGGGTAAGGTCGAGACAAGTGTATAAAGTGACCAGCTAAATGAAGTACAAGGTTAAAAACTTAGTCCCTAACTGAGTACCAAAGGGACGTAATATTTAGAAGGTAGTCAGTGAGCTAAATTTATAAGGGTTAGTGTTGCAAGTTAATGTTAAAGAAAACTCATATCCAAATTGTTCTACCTTGCCAGAAATACTAGACTTCCTAATTTAAGTGACAACATATGAGAAATCATGTTGTTAGGGATTGGTATTTCATTTTGGTTATGAACCTAACAAGTGTAAAAAGGTCGCATTTGTTGGGTAGGATTAATCCACTTAAACTATTCACCTTGTTGTAGAATATCTATGTAGGTGAATGTGTGACGATGCATTAATTGAGATGTATGCATATGATGTGGTGAGATTTGATATTGTTCATATGCTTGTTCTTTATATGGTTGAATGATATTGATGTGATGAAATATGATGTACCTCATGTTATAAGTTGCTTACTTATGTGTGGAATGCCATGTTGAGATGTTTAGTATGTTGTTATGTTGTAAACTATGAGGTGTTATGGGTATGACCTTACATGTTAGTGTTGGTGAGTAGCATAGGTGCTTTCACTTTATATTTATTATATGTTTATTATTTTGAAATCTAACTTATCCTTACATGATTCATAGTGGTTGGATTGCAATGGTCATGTTTATATGAGAGTAATATAAGGATAGTTGAAGGTAGGTTGTAGCTTTTTTGAAGCCATGCAAATGAATGATTTGGAATTGATTTTATTGAATTACTTTAATATAATCGTGTATAAATATTATTTAATTGCTAGTTATAATTTTTATTTTACAATTATAGATTACTATACTTATATATATTGTATAATTATTTTATTTTCCTCGTTGTTTATGCTTATATATATATACGTATTTAATTTGGTACATAGATCTAAGTGATATAATTATATTAATCTGAAGTGTGTATGTTTTTATGTTATTAATGGTGAATTTTGTTAAATATAAAACATAAAGATAAAATGATAAAACTTATTTAATAATCAAATACAGAACTGACATGCAATTTGATTCACAAATAACTTGTCCATAACAAATGATTTCGTATGAAGGATGCCAAAACCTAGAAAAATCCAGCCAATTATTGATTAATCTCCGAGCAGACCTCCAAATTTGTTACTTATTTCACAATAAGTATTAAATGTATTTTAGATTTTCAAAGTATTAAATAATTTATTTTTTATTTAATAGTCTCTTTATAAGGTAATAGGATGATTTGTACGAAAACGAGGTAGGTGATAAAATGTGACTCTCCACGATTTTTTTTTTCTCGAAATAATATTATTTAATATATTTTTTACTTAAATAGTAACTGTGCGAATTTATTTACCAAACTAGTACTGTTTACATTTAGAATAGGTCATTCTGATATTAGAACGAGCCGTTCCAGATTCAAAATTAACACATGATTAGTGAAATCAGAACAGACCGTTCTGAATCCGGAACGGGCCGTTCTGGCCACTTCAGATGGACCAACATATGGAACAATAGATGTGAACACACATTGATGGGTCATCTAATGCAAGACACATTGTTTCAAACATGAGAATACATGGAATGGTACATGACCAATTCCATCTATCCCCTATCTATGCCACCCATCAACAACGAAAGATTTCCACAACATTTGAAACTGGTGCAACTTCCATGCGATCATATGAAGAGACTCATCAGTATGTATCAAATCCTCTACACAACATCATCCCACAAGAAAAATAATTGACAGAAGGCATTTGTTTGCAACAACTTCAGAGGAATTTTTTACAAATTTATTTGGAGTAGATTTTAGAACTCCATCTTCAGCACAATCATACATGCAATCTCTTTACCAACTGGAATTCGCTAATGAACCTAGTAGTTCTTCAACAACGAGTACTTGATGATGAACCAAATCTTTGTCCCCGCTGTGTTTGTGCGCAAATAAGTGTGTTCGGGAAATTCATACAGTTAAGGGTCTCAAAAAACCAACCAACTACTCAAAACATAAGCAAATTGTACAAAATATATTATGATATCAAAAGATAGAAGAATAAGATAAGACAAAAGGCACATACACAACGAAATTACTGAAATATGGAAATAAGCTGAGATATGTGAGCTTTATACCTAACAAAACATAAAATCTCTACTTTTTGCTTCTTAAATATTTATTTTAACTAGATAAATAAACTTATTTTCAAAATTTATAAAAAATTTAAAATTATTACATGAAGGGATCACCTTACGTTACAATGGGACCAAAAATAATGATAAGCTTAAAAATAAGGAATATTCATATATAATGGTTACAAACATAATTAAACTTAATTTCTTTTATATTACAACATTTTATTTTTGTTTTTAGTTGTTGATAAGAAAAAATAACTTCGAACTTTGGTTAATCCAAATTAATTTGGGATACTTAATTAAGTAAAAGCAAAAAAGAAAAACCTAATACTTATTCATTTTTCCATTTACAAAATTTTAGTTCGTTTATTTTATGTTATTTTTCCTTTTTCGAAATCAAACCTTAGCTCCGAATCTCACTCAAACTAATAGGCGTTGGTTGGCACCACTTTTTAATTGCTTATTATTTTAATTTCTGAAATATTTATACTTTGTTAGTTTAATTCTTTGAGCAATCAAATTCTAAACACTTCAATTATTTCAACAATTATTCTTGTCGATATAATTATTAGAATGTAAAGCTAATTAAAATATTGTCGCCAAACAAAGAAGAAAGGATAAAATACTTATACCAACTCTTTAGAGTTGATTTAGCCTCCTTAGAATAAATCTTGTCTAAATTGTGAATCTATATTCTAAATCTTGTCTAAATTGTGAATCTATGCCAATAATAATATGATATAACTATTTGTCAAAAAATAATATGATCTAACTAATAATATGATATAACTATTTAGATCTCTCAAAAAAGTTATTTCATATTAATATTTATATAATTTTTTAAGGTTCTATAATTTAAAAAATCACTTTAAAATATCTATTTATAAAAAAAATATAAAATATAATTATTTTTTCAAGGTCCATCTCTAAAATATTTGTATCTTTTATTAAATAATATTATTATTAATTTAAAAAAAATCTCACTTCAAAAATTTATTTTAAGCTTAATAGTATGTTACAGCGATTGAGTTATAAGTAACTCAAAATTCTAATGAGATTTAAAAATTCAATTTACTAAACTTTTATGTAAAAAAAAAAAAAAAAAAAAGTTGAATAGACTCAACATGAAAGTGGCCCTTACAAGAAGCAATCTGAAAAGATATTGCGCTAGAATGAGCACACCTCACGTACGTACTTTCTGATTTCATGTTAGAGTTTTCAGTTTTCCAATCAAAAGTATATATTAACCCAAACAGTGCAGATGGTAAAAAGAATGTAAATACTCTTTAAACAGAAAACTTGGTCATTGGCTATTATTTGTCTGGTATATATTACACAGTATATAGTATTTGACAATTAATAATGATGACATAACTAGCTAGAACGATAAATATTTAATGACACAAAGCAATGTCTTGTCGTGTTTTAGGATCACCTAATAATGAATGTTATGATTAAGACACATGATGCTATCTTATCCAATAAAAAATGAAGTTATAGTCGTTTTAATTATATGGTCCAAGATTAGATTTATATATATAACTGAAGCAGAGCCACACACAGAGGATTCCGCTGTCACCCCAATGCATGGCTCAACATTATTCAGAATATTATTACAAACACTCTCATTTAATACTTGTTATTTAATTATTCTTTATCATGTTATATTTATCTATCACTGCTCACTGTTCTCTGTCATGGCATTTGATATCTACCAATGAAAGAATATTGGAAGAAATAAAGAGACACATGACGTGCTCAACAAGTTCTCGTATCAAAACTCAAAAGCACATCAATTATCCCTCTTTGCAGCATGGCACACAGCCATTTTCTAGAACACTGGAAACACTTTTTTGAAAACCACTTGTCATCTCCCCCGTCTGTACTGTGCATGCCATTGCCACCAATGAAAAGCTACACACATTTCCATTCACCTGGGACTGCCCTTACTACGCATTAAAAAACTCATGTTAAATAGTAATTACTTTTTCTTTTTTAATTATTTTTTAATTTTGAAAAAATTCTTAAATACCATTTTGCGAAATAGTTTTAAGAGAAAATGACCAAAATACAATCAGTCCGTGTTTACGTTTCTCTAATTACATTTTTGTATGGATCTTTAGTATCGAAATTTATTTATTCCCTTCTTTATCTTCTTTGTTGGTTACATTTGTTAATTAAATAATAGGAAAATTATTCTTTTTACTCGTATTTATTAATCGCAAATTATAATGAAGTCATGAAGACAATTTAAAACTTACTATATTAAACCCTTAATGTGTATACATGTTAATCTAATGTATTTTCTTATATATATATGTATATATAAATTGAGTTGTAAAATATTTTATTAAAATTTCATATTTATTGTATAGTCAGTATTTGATAATTTCTTAAAGCATTCGTAATCATCACGTATTCACGTACCATATCAACCCGTGTGTGAGAGAGACACGTGAAGCAATTATGATAACTATGCATAAATATAATCTTGCATACTCTGTTTTTATATCATTTTGTCTAATAATTAATTAATTATCTTCATAGTATAATTAAAAAAATTTTAAAAATATTGAATGATATTAATATTATAAATATATTTTTACTTTAATTTGTCATTAATTTTTTATTATTTCTTATTATGTAATCATTATTAAGTTCTAGGAATTCAACAAAATTGTTTTCATATTGGCGAGGAACGTGGTTAAAAATGGGGTATCTTTTTGGCATAAACAAAGCCAAGCTTTCCATATCCTCCACAAGCTATCTCAATCCATGGCTGTAGAGATTCTTCCACCTCCTTATTCCTTCCTCAAAACTTGCCAAACCCTTCAACAAAGACAAAGAAGGAAGAAAACTTGATCGTTTTTGTTTTCTCGAAAGAACTTGGAATAACTAATAATAATATTCGAGGAAGAGAGAGCAAAGAAAAAGTTTGTAATTCATAATTAAGTACAAATAGAGATAAAGAGAAAGATCACATGATTGCAAAAACAAACATGAAGCCTATCATTGGCAAGTTGTACTGTTCATCGTCTCATACGGTGCTTGTGGTGAGGAAGAGGCCACACGTGGTGAATGGTGGGGGGTTTGTAGTCATGGATTGTAGTGCTCAGAGGGTTGTGTTCAAGGTCGATGGTTGTGGTGTTCGTGGCAAAAAGGGTGAGTTGATTCTAAGAGAAGGAGATGGAGACACTTTGCTCCTCATGCGTCGAAAGGTGTATTTTTTTTTTTTTTTGATGATAATCGAAAGGTGTATTTATTTACTTCATTTTGTGCATGTGAAAACTTTGTACATAATGTATACTCAGATGTCATATATACTCATATTAACATAGACAAACGTTGCAATTTGAGTAAGAAAATAATTTACATACTATACCATACAAGTTATTGATATTTTTTTTTATTAGAATTGAAGCTTCACTTTTGTATTATGTGTAACAAAAGATTTTGTTAAATATCAACTCATAAAATTCCAATTCTGATTAGAAAATAGTAGTACTTACTTATAGTATTGTATCTAAAATTTGTCTTTTGATTAATAGAATGTTTTGAAATGTGTAGGGAGGCATGGTTGAGGCCCTGAGCATTTACAAGAAGTGGAAAGGTTACAGTGTAGACTATGAAGGATCACGGAAGCTGATTTTCAGCTTGAAAGAACCCAATTCTTGTTTGGTGAATAACAATGCAATCAGAATCTCCACTAGGAACCGAGAAAGGGACTTTAAGATCAGTGGCTATTTCCCGGATAAGTGTTGTAGCATTGTTGACTCTAAAGGCAACGAGGTAGCTCAGGTAAGTTTACAAATTCGTTTGAGTTGAGAGTTACATACAGCAATAGGACATTATGAAAGTAACATTAAGTTGTTACTTAAAAGTGTTGATTGGTGATCAATTTATTAGGTGGGAGTGATGAAGGAAGTGGAGGAATTGATGGAAAGCAAGGATTTGTACCATGTGGTGGTGAAACCTGGGATGGATCAAGCTTTTGTTTTTGGAATCATCGCTATCCTTGATTACATTTATGGCGAATCCACCCACTGCTAAACCTATAACTCATCAGAGCATGCTCTGAGTTTTGTGATTAATTTTTTTATATGTAGGATTACTCTTTCTCCCATCACAGAGGTGTATGTGAATCTTGTTGCCAAATGGAGATTTGTCTTGTTTAATAATGATGAATATAATGTGATCTATTACCTATAAATTCATTCAAGTACTTTATCTCAACTATATAGTCCTTTAAGATAGTTACATTATGACATAAGAGTTTCCACGACTATACGATTTAGAATTGAATACTGGTGTTGTTAACTTTTACTACTATTTATTCTCATAGACTGATATCAAATCTTTGTGAGATTGAATTTGAATATATGTGAAGTTGGATATTAATTGGTGAAGAATGATAGTTGCTCATTAGCAATTTGAAAGTAAAGGACTGCTTTATTCGAATAAATTAAGCACGGATTTGACAAAGTTGGTTTCGTGTTGAATGAAATATTTTATTTTTATTTCTCTTCCAAACTGTGGTTGCTTATTGCTTGGAAAATTTTTAGTCTATCTCACGCAGAGTTTCTCTAAACCCGAACTCATTGAAGAGATTCTCTGGATGATGTTATAATCTTTACAAATTTGCTCTTTGCAAGTGAAGAAGATGGTTGGAACATGTATGGAATTTTAACCAAACTAGACGAGGGGTTCAGACCCGTTATTTTGCTTCCTTCGTGGTCCAGCCACATCTATTCCATTCTAGGTCTAAACTGGAGATCTAACACTAATCCTTAAACAACACAACTACACAAGTACCAAATTATTACTTTGTCTAAAATTTCATTCATACCTTATCTTTTTACATTCTTTCTTGATTTTTTTCCCACTTTTTTCCATGTCACAGAAAACGGTACAAAAGTAATATATTTATGCACCATTTTCTTAATTAGGGCAGTATAAAAAATAATAATATCTTTCTGCAATATTTTCTTACAATTTTCTCTTTTTGTTTTTGCTTTGTAATGAAAATATCAAATAAAAATAATATATTTGATATTTAGTAAGAAATTAAGAAATATTAAAATATATTGTAAGAAATTAAGAAATATTAGAATATATTATAAGAAATTAAGAAATCACACACGTAAATTTATGAATAATTTTAAGACACTAATTATCACACCCATATATTTCAGCCATTTTTAGTGTATGGGGAGTTTCTTAGACTATCACTACACTGTTGAGGCATTCACTTTCTTTGATCATTCACATCACACTAGCTATTCTGATTTAAAATAGATCAGAATCCTGCTTTATTGCTTCCTCCCCCCCTTTTCTTTGTAATCTTAATTTTCTATTTTTCTTTTCATTTAATTATTTAGAGTTAAAAGCTCTAGTTTTTTAAGTGTACATATGCGACAAAAAAAAATTGAACCAAAATATTTTTGTACAGATTACACAAATCCTTTATTTGATTTAATTATTAAAAAAAACCTCCAGTTTAATTTGGTTTTATTAAAAAAATAAAATTATTAATGACCTTTCATTCGTTTAAATTAATATTTTTAAAATTAATTTGAGTTACTAATAATTTTGTACTAAACAAAGTAAAAAGGTTTGCATTTCAAAGATTAATCTAATGTTTTAAATAAACTTAAGAAATTATTTATCAATTTTTTATTACATTTTTTTTGTACCTATTCTTTTGAGTTTTGAGGTTGCTTCCCAAAATCCATGAGTTGGATTGTTTGCAGGGAAATGGGTGCAACAACAAAGGGTTTGGGCTTTCTGAATGAGATTGGTTTGAGTTCAAGCAATGTGGGCTGCTACATTAATGACCAATGGAAAGCTTCATTATTTACCGCCATTTTTTTTTTGTTGGTTTGGGAAAGGAAAAGGGCTTTATTTATTTATTTATTTATGAACTGCTCTTAATTTGGATGTGACATGTGAAGGAGGAGAAGTTATATGGTTTTTACCAAAGTAGCACTAGTTTGAGCAATTATTGTTCTGAATTGACATTGGACTATATAGCTCAAGTGAAGCAACTCTGACACTAGGTTTTTATTATTATTTTTATTATTAGTTTATAATTGCATAGTTTTATCTGACAAAAAAAAATTGTAGTTTTATTTCGTAACATGGTATATGATAGGAATAAGATTGAACGCAGTTCATTATCTAATAACTTTTTTTCAAATGAGAGTGTCATAATCTTCTTGCGGGTGAGATCGTGACATAGATGGTTTATGCATTAGAGCATCTGCAGTAGAGGTTGCTTATAAACAACTTCCTGTGCCACATCAATTTTTTTTCAATTTTTTTTTAAGTATTGGAGTTTTTATAAGAACATAGATGGTTTATGCATTAGAGCATCTGCAGTAGAGGTTGCTTATAAACAACTTCCTGTGTCACATCAATTTTTTTTCACTTTTTTTTTAAGTATTGGAGTTTTTATAAGAACATCTACAATGGGAGTTGCTTATAAGCAATTCCCAACCACTTTAAATGGGTCCTACGTGCCACGTCATTCATAAGCAATTCATACTATATTTTTATAATTTTTGCTTCAATGAGAATTGCTTATAAGCACCTCAATTTTTTACAACTTATACTACACTTTTTGACACCTCACATTATTATAATAATTTATATAAAGAGGAAAGTAAAGAAAAAGAAAGCGGAAAGGACAACAGAAGCAGGCAAGCACCGTTGCTTCTGCAAGACACGGAGCTAAAAAAAATTTTCTTTCTTGTGCCACGTAAGCCTACTCCAATGGGCATTCCTTGTTAGAGACGGTGCTTATAAATACGAAACTGGGTAAGCACCCTCCGTTGGAGGTGCTTTAAGCAATTTTGCTAAAATTGTTGTTTATAAACAACCCCTACTGAGGGGCAAATTCGACCCTATGTGTAGGCTAGTGCTGCTAAAAACAAGGAAAAATGAGTAAACAATTAATTTAGTATCTAAAATATCACCCTCTTTTTTAACGGCCTTTAAATTATTGAAATTGCATAAATAATCCTTAAAATATTAAAATTATGCTGTATAGTTCATCTCTATTGAAAATTCTTTTTAGACTTGTCCCTCAATACTGGTAAAATATATTAATTGAGAGACTAAATTGTTATATATTCAATATTTTAGGGACTAATTATATAATTTTATTAATTTAAGAACTATTTAGGAAAGAAAACAATACTTTAATGGCTAAATTGATAGTTTATTTGAAGAAAAATTCTTCCAAGTAGGAATTGGGGAGGTTCAGTATATGGTTCAAAAGAATACAAGTCAAATTTTAGTGTAGTAATGCATACTGTCGTCAGGGGCTCCCAAATTTGCCTCTTTCATTGTTCTTATGAGGTTCTATTCCCAGTTGCTGGAGTAATATTTGGGTCTCTCGATGTTCTTAGTAGTATAAAAGGGATTGGCAAATTGTTGGTTCATTATTTGTTTTATATGTTTATGATGCGAACGATTGTCTTTCGTACATATCATTAGTATATGACACAAATTTGTGATATTGTTTGGTTCAAATTTTCAACGTGATTTATCTCTTAAAATAAAAATTATTAATTATAACTTTTATATTTTAAACGTTATTTTTGCTTTGATTCACATTTTTATGAACGTTTAACTAAACACGCAGATAATCTATTATATGATGTGTATGAGTGTGATTGACTGCTGTTGGGCAAAGCAGACAACGGAATGGATCAATTATGCCATCTGAACATAATATTTATGTATAATATATTGATGCTTGATTTTTACTTTACAATCCTTCTAATGAGATATTTATTTGAAGTATTTACCGATAAGCTTTTGTTAATTTTTTTAAGAATAAACTACACCAATACTTCTTGAAATTTCATAAAATCATACATATACTTCCTATTTTTTCTACTTTTATAATAATCTCTTTTAACTATTTAAAAAAATATTACATCAATACCTCTTTTATATTACTTTTAACTCCTTTTAATAATTTAAAAAATATTATATTGTGATCTCTCTTAAAGGTGGTTACTATAAACCTTAAAAAAAAAAAAGTGTTAGTGTGATTTCATAGAATTTCAGTAGATGTCAAAGTAGTTTACTCTAATTTTTATCCTACTTTCTCTCCAGATTGTTCTGAGTTTATGTTATTGTTTTCTCCGTATGTTTCTTTACAAGTCCAGATAATATGATGTTCGAGGTTGTATTTAAGCTATGATTATTTACTGGTGTGAGGTATAAACTTTAACTGTATTGACAAGTCTAGGGCATGTATTTTCTTGTTACTATCTTCCAGTTAAATACTGTAGGTGTTTAACCTTCTATATGTGATTAGTAATTGCTAAATAGAATATGCATCTTTTAATTTTATATGATTAATGTGATTTTTTTTTTGTGTGGAAATGTATTACTAGATATTCTTATAAACAGGGAGAAAATATCCTTACAGGGGGATCTGTATTAAAGTCAGAGGGAAATTTTGTACACCAACAATTATTGAGGTTTCCCCAGATGCTCCTACAGTCAAAGAAAATTTGTTTGGAAGCTATAAACTATATGTTATGACGTTTCAGTCTGTATCAATTTTTTATTAGCTTTATTTCGTTTTGAGTTTAGCTTCTGGTTGAACTTTGTGATTATGTTATGTGCAAAAACATTATTTCCCCTTCACATAGTTTGTATTGAAATATGCTTATCAAAATAGTTCTTATTGAGTAACATGGACATGAAAGTTCAATTTTTAGCCTAGCTATTGTTGTGTTTGAGGGAAACCATAGTACCATACAGGTGCTTGCTATTGGATATAATGAACCTGAGAAAATAAATGAGATATGTTGGACATACAAACTAGTAGAATCCTTTCCCGTACAAGTAGAGCTTGAATTTCTTCTATGTTTCACATTAAAAACTTTCTAGTCAGAATATGCTGTTCTAAGACAAAATATGATGGCTTCCACCGGAGAGATTCCTTCTATTTGATTTTTTTTTCTCTAGGGTAAGCTTCTTCAAAAGTTTCCTTTCGCTGGATACCAGAAAGGGTTCTTGGAAAAAGAAAAAGGGTGCCTTGGTGGAATGACCCAGCACTGTTTGTGCGCTGAAAATTGGGTTTTGATGCTGATTTTACAATGAAAAAATGAAAGGTATTGAAAAGTCAAACTCTTCATGATGTTCTTTAGATAATAAATGGTATCTGTGAATTACCAGTACTGAAGTAGCAGAGTCTTGCTCCTTACATGTCTCATGCCATGCACATCATATGGAGGATTAATGTAATGAATTAACCATATGGAGGATCGAATTGCTCAAAATTGTCTTTGCTTTGAAGTTCTTGGCTTTCACCTTGCATTGATGAGGAGTCTTATCTATTAACCATCAATTTGAACAAAGACACTGATTAACACTGAGATGTTTAATCTCCAAAATCTAAGATATGGGGATACCACACATACAATAAGATCTTGTAAAAAAAATATTTTACAATATAATCATTTTATCTGGTTATAAAGAAAATCTTAAAGTAAGATGAATTATCCTTTGGAAAAGATGTATTCACCTTCTCAAAACAATTTGCTAAGATTCACTTTCTTTTCTAAAACAATGAGCCTCACAAAAGAAATGTAAAAAAGTCATTATTTTATATTTTTGTATTATATTTTAAACTTACCTTTTTCTGAATGTTAAATAAAAGTTTCAACATCTGTTTATAATACCACTGCCCTTGAACTGTTCAGGCATATGCAAGTGTTGACTCAAGTGTTTGAACTATATAGAGGTGTGACTCAAGTGTATGAATTGACAAAAATAACAAGCGTAGGTGATTCTTTGCTCTTTATATATTTATTGATCCTTGTGGTCAATGTAGGGTCATAAAAAATCACGTAAAAGAAAACCCATGATGATTCGCACGTTTAGTTCCTGTTTAGCAGCTGAGGTACTAGTAGAAAAATGGGGACAGAAGTTGGCAATGCTCTTAAAAAGCTCTGCCTTATTGGATGAACTAGGCCATTTTTCATTGAAGGTGGACTTGCACGAGGAATAGAACGTAGATTGATTTCATGAGTACTACAAGAGGGGTTAGGTAAACTACCTTTTAAACAAAGTGCATAATTGGAAATTATTTCGGTGACCCATGAAATGATGGATTCCATTGAGTAAAACACTTGACTATTTTGATGATTGAGATATGGTGATAATTTATGAGGCAATACAGTAGCAGTGAGGACAAGTTTAACATATGGCATTGGTTCTTTCAAAATAATCTTCTTCAGATGGAAAATCATTATCTTTTTGTTGGTTCTGATTTTCTCAATCTTGTTTTACTTGAAGTTGCTACTACTCCCAAGTTCCAACTTGGTGCAAATATCTGGCAAAGGCCTATAATTCTCATTTAAAGAATATATAATATTTTGTATTTGGTTTCTTCTGATTTTGATTTTGACAATAGGAAACTCATTTCACTGTTTCTTAGCTTCTAACTTTCGTATCTCTTCTACTTTCTAGCATCAAATGACTTCAAGATCTGCCTCTGAGAAATTATAGTTAGACACCACAATACGTGACCTTATAAGTTGTTGACTCTCTTAATTTTTTAATGAACCTACATGTAGCAAAATAGTAGATGATTTTGATATTTTGCTCTAACAAAAACACGTAAACACAAACTTTGAAAATCTGTAAGTAGCAAACTTAATAGGTTGGAAGAAACGTAGAGTGAATGAGATCTTATTAATTTATTTTTATCTTTTTGATGTTCGAGTGAATGAATTCCAAGTCTTCAACAAAAACACGCAAATGGAAATAAAACGACAAATAACATAATTAATATTGATCCTGTGTGTAAACTGTCCCCACTCCCTCTCTTTGTCGGTTTCGATAAATATTATTAGTATGTCACAATTTGCAGAAAACTCCTGGAGTAGATGCATCCCGAAGGTTCACATCAGGCACAACCATCTTCTTGCAGAAACTTTGGCTCGCATACACATACTAACTGGAGCATGGAAATGCTTTACTTTTCCAACAAAAGTGATGCCACTTTCACTCAGGGAAATTTCCCTGCACCTTCCTCTTGTGTCAATATCCCGTATGCAGAATGCAAATGCCTCAATTAATCAACTTTCCTTAATATCTGTATATATATATATATATATAATTATTAATGAAGTTATTGCTGTTAAACGGCCATGCTGAAAATTGATACAAACAGCTAAGCACACCTGGAATTATTAGTTTGGAAAAAGGTTTAAGATTCTCTCATATTCTTTTATGCATACAGCTATAGCCAATGAACACAAAATTGTTTCTTTTAAGGAGTGCTTGAGCCTTGAGCCAGCCATCATAATGGCAAGTTTGCGCTGTCTTTTTGTTCTGATTCAAACTCATTAGTTACTATAGTTTTTAGCTTTATTTCCTTAACAACAAAGCCTTATATCCTACAGTGAGGTGGCCTACATGATGAATCATACACGTCTTCTTTCCTATCAGTTAAAAATCAAAGTTTCAGATATATTATTTATCATGAGATTCCTCTAATCAACCCCCATACCGAAATAAAAAATTTAACAACTTAAAGAAAAACAAAAAATTGAGCAATAGAAATCAGCTGGAATATTCAGGAAGTTTTATGGTCAGGAAATAGGCATATTCTTTATCTTCCCAGAAGATACAAGAAAGATAAAGAAATTAGAAGAAGTAAATTTTAGAATTTGATAATGAGTCTCTATATACATTGAAGATCATAGAAAAAGGAGCTAGTACTGAAGTCATCATCAGTAGGCCTAGTAGGCCCAGGCCTCATCAAATTTCTAACACTATGAGCACAAGGATCAATTCCCTCAATCAATCTAAACCGAAAGGGCAAATGTTAGAGAGCCTTTGTTATAGATTTCTAACACCTCTCACAATCATAGAAAAACATACTCACAGAGAGTTCTACTTTCTATGCTTCATGCTTTACCTGCAACTGCAAGAGTCAAAAACAAAACAAATAGACCTTTAATTTAACCGGAGATGGTGGAGAAGCAACTCTCCGATCGAATCAAGTGTGGGGCGCGAACTCCATCGACGGAGGGAAGCGCCCCACTGGAGTTGGACCGGAGAGGCCGGGGAGAATCCAAGCTCCTCCGGAGAACGCGCCCCATGACGAAGATGGGGTGCTCTGTTTTATTTAGAACCGTTGATGATCTGAACTCTCTGCAGAAACTGATGTGGCGGTCCAGAGCTTCTTCCGTGGAGATGACACTATCTGATCTCACCACCTCGTGTTGCACAGCCTCCACACAAAGACCGCATAGCCATCGACCCTGGTACCTCTGACGCACCCTTGAGATGTATGCAGGGGTGCACTCTTCTGTGAAACCACACGAGTCGCATTTCACACACTCAACTTCAACCTGTGCCACGCTTTTCACTGAGGAACTCTGAGTCTCTGACCCCGAAATTGCCATCTCTAACCCTCAACTTTGCAAGATCAATTCAATTCTATCACCCAACTCTCTCTCTTTCTCCCTTGCAAGTAATAATATAGGGAGAGGCAGTGAGTCAACACAGATTTATGTTGTCCTATGCTAATAAACTAATGTTAGAAAACTGTGCCACATAATAACTTATATATTAGTATTTTGTTTATTTAGAATAAATAAGCATGATATCAGGGTCCTTGAAATGGATTAGACATGAGTCACTCATGAGCTTTTAACCTGTTATTTTGGTGTTTCTTCTTGCCACGTGTCACTCCATGCATATGGCAGCATGGAAAACTAATGTGATTGGCTGGTAGTAGATCGCTGTCATTTGTTTGATTTGGGCACTTTTATCTAGTTTTCAACCATTCAAGTTTATCCTATTAATCCAAACTTTGTGCCACGATGAAACAAAACGGGGTCGTTGCTTGGCACCCTCCAAACTAGTGCCATCTCACTCCCCAATGCCTTGCACATTTTTGGTATTTGCCAGTGCTCATCTCAAACTATAGTGTAATTAGGTATGTTTCACCTTGCTGAACGTGGAATCAGTTTGATGTCCATTCTACAAAGCATTTTGACTCAATTTTGGTCCAAATTCGTTTCACTTGGTTGTCGATTACAATCTACCATCATTCTTAATTACTTGTACGTATATGCCAAGGAAATTTCTTTCTTTTTTTGAATCCGTGATTGTATTCATTGTTATTTGCTAACTTGTTGGCATTGATTGTCAATTATTTTGACATGTGAAAAGCAGATTGTTGTCTTAATGTGTTTTATGTCTCTTCAAGACTGACGTAGGTGTGCAATTAAACATTACATACATGATACATACATAATATTATATATGTGTATGTACCTGTGTTTATTATCCATGTATGGATTGTGTCTTTACTTTGGAAGTAGTTTCAGTAATTTTTTGGTCCTTAAGGTAGTAGGCATGACCTGTCATACAAAAAATTAGTGTCATTAACTGTTCAAACTGCACTTGATATAGTAAATTTTCAGCTGCACCCGCCATTCTATTCCGTATATCCACGTGCTTTTAAGTGTCACATTGTTCAATTAATATACGTATGAGCAAACCATCAAATGATTAGAGGAAAATAGTTCAAATTACTGGCTCTCTACAGTTCAAATTAAGATTACTTGGTTTTGGGGCTAAAACCAAGTAGTTTCCATGTGCTGAACTGTAGATTCCGAGATAGGAAAAACATGGACTGTCTAATGAATAATATTAATATATGTGTTAACTTTCCTCAAGGCAGAACTTCATTATGTGGCAAAGGACCCACCCAAATGAGAATGGATTCAACCTAAATGATTGCTGAACTCCCAAAAATAAAAATGTTATGTGACAGCATGCACAGGCTTGGTTCTGGAAGTTTCATTTGGTCTCACGTTCCAACTCTTCGGCTTCTCACCCATTAGTTCAAGTTTACTGGAGATGCCTCATCCACTTTTATCTTTAGCTCAAGGTTAAGCAGATGATATCACTATTTTTCGTTTCATAGCCTAAGTTATAGTCCCTGGCTTGCCAAATATTTATGAGCGAAGTGCTTGCATGTTTTGATAGTTTTGTTAAGTTATTTTCTTTCAAGTTTATACCAAAGGACTCTTTTACTTACTTCGGTGCATCTTAAATGTGACAATACGTTAAACATGCCTTAAACAAGTGGTATTTGTGGTCATTGAAGCGCGGGACTCATATGGCTCCTAAGTGACTATCTCATTCATTGTATGAAAATGACATCGCAATGACTCAAAATTAACCATGTGCAAGTTTCGACATTTTTTCTAGAGCGACGTTGACACAAGTGACAAGTGGTGTCGTGATATTGAGGTGTGGCTGCTTCTTCTCCGGATTGGAAGACCTCACTAGTAGAAGTGGCTAGTCTCTTGCAATGTCATAAACAAGGTTTGAATATCTACGGAGAGAGGAGTCCAAGTTTAGTACTCGACTCGAACATAATTAACTCGAAAAGAAGATATATGTAAGAAAAATAATAAGACCTGGGACTTAATCCACTAACAAGAGTAAGGATGTAACCTATAATAAGGGAAAGAATCTTTTCCGAATGGGACCAGTGGCTACAAATGATACATCAAAGAGTGGTGCCTTTTGAAATGCATGCATAAATATTACTTTAATGACTTTTTGTTCCTGGTTGGAGACAAAATATTGAAGTTGTATGTCTGTCGCGATTCGTGAGCAACCTGCACTAGTCTCTTTCAACAAGGTATTTTAGGAAGAGTCAAAATCTGGAGTTAGTGATTTCCTAGCCAATATAGGCATGAAATTGAAGGCTAAGCCACCACTGGTCCATGTGGTTGGTCCCATGACTGCAACACTCATCATATCCAAAACCTGCCTCTGCTGCAAATGAGTTTAGCGGACAAGTAAGCTGTTATAGTCTATAGATTTTTAAGGCTTTACTTGAATCTTCCTATTTTACACGCAGCCACTAGCTGTAAATCTTTCAAATGGTTGATCCAAGTTTAGTGATGATGTGACAGAAGCACCACTCAATGAATATATGTTTAACTCTCGAGTGTTTTTGCACCAAACTTGGTCTCCACTAAATTTGAGTATGTTTGGATCACAGTTCTAGGGTATGTAACTCACTTTTTTTAGTTCATCATGTTATAATTATGCAATGATATTTGTCTTTGAGGAGATATAAAGAGAAAATGATTATATCTTTATTATTTTTATTGGATTATTTCATGCACAACTTCACATTAGTATAAATATTTTTTTGTTTTTGAATTAAATTTTTATGATTTTTTTTTGTCATCATCCAAAAGGTCTCTCAACCAATAAAATTTTATAAACTCTGATTTTTCTTTTTATTTTAGGATACGATCTTATTTGTATCTTAACAATTCTTCTCTCAAAGAAAGGACTTAACCTCCTAATTCAATAGACCTTGTACATCATTATATCATTTTTTTGTTATAAACATGAGTTATTGATTGTTACCAAATTTAACATGTGGCTCTAATACCACTATTAGGGTTATGAGTTTTTTGGTCATTGTTTAATGGGATATATATTTATCAAGAGGAAGGTTATTATATCTTGTTATTTTTATCAATGTATTTGAAATATTTGCACGCACTACTCTGTATTAAAGTGTGTTTGGCTTCTCATTTCAGATGCACCAAATGTCTACTTGTTCATTCTAAAGCAAAAAATGGAGAAGCAATAACACTAATGTGTTAGGATACAATCAAAGTCTCATATCGTTAAAATAATAAAAAAAAAGAGTTTATAAAAATACATATACTTCATTGGTTGAGAGACCTTTTTAATGATAACCAAAAGAAAAATCACGAGAATTTAAATCCAAAGTAGACAATATTTATATTAATATGGAATTGTGTGTGAAATAATCCAATAAAAATAACAAAGATATGACTTTCTTCTCTTGATAAATATATCCCCTTAAATACAAATATTATAACATAATCATAACAGTGGTATTAGAACCTGGTTAGATTCTATTAAATTGTGAGGTTAGGTCTTTTTTGAGAATATTAAGATATAAATAAATTCTTACATTTTAAATTTTGATGTGCTTGAGACTGGCTTATAAACATGTATGTTTATAGAATAATAGATGATTCTCTCATTCTATTACCTCATTACCCTCATTAGTATCGACTCAAATTTATTAAAAATTACGAATTTTATAAGTCTTGCATCTAATTTAATAAATTTCTATCTTTACATAAAGGCAAAATTCATCCAAATTCGTATTTTTTAAACAATAATAAAAAGAGTAAGCTTAATAGTTATATCTTTTGTATCTCATCTATGAATTTTTACTTCTCAACAGTTTTTCAACGCACTTTGAAAGTAAGCTTAATTCTTGATGAGATTCTCGTGTCCTCTCTTGTTGCCTGACACCTTAAAAGCAGTGCTATTTTGTGTTATTCTATATTGATAGGCAGTGTATCAAGCTTTCTGACTTATTTGCTCCTGATGGGTCTTTCTGGGTCACTTAACTTCAGGTAATGTTAATATGATTTGTTAGCATATTTAAACAATGAAGGACCAAACATGAAGATTCAAACCAGTATAAGTCATGGTGTTGAATTGGTTTTCTTCGATATCAATTCCACGGCTGACTTTTTGATTCTAAAGGATCAGTAGGATTTATGCACAGCTCCATGGTATCCAAACAACTAGTACTTCATTTCCAAGCCTAATTAATTAAGCTGGACAATGATTATGCTGGTGAATGTAGCAACATATTGCGAAGATAATCAGATAGTTTGATGATCATGTTGTAAGGTGATGTTTTCTGTGCCTTCAGTTTTTCAACATCATTAAACCAGAAAAAGCAAAACTAAACATTGTGGGGTGCACAGAACTGTTAACTGACAGCTTCAGCTTTTCATTGAAAAGGGTGTGTCTTCACTTTGTATCAGGCATCTTCTGACATGAATGATGCATGCATACCGTACTACCCTGATATTTAAATTATTTTGTGTCCCTTTTCTCCTAGCCAGTTCCGGAACTAGATCTCTGTGATGAAAAAGAAGTTTGTAAAGTCCCTGGAAAACAACCTCGGTCAATTGGCAACATCATCTGATACTACTCATCGTAACAAGAAAAATGAGATAACGTAAATTAAGCAGTGTTATTCCCCATAACATAATACCTGCCAATTCTGTCTCTACCCTCGACAAATGTGAAACTCTATGCAAGATGTATGTATTCTCACAAAATGGAATGAGGAGAATTTGTTTTTAGAAATCCATGAAGGATAGATAGCCACACCTTATAATTAAGGTTTGTTAACTTTCACATGTAAAATTAGCGGGATCCAACAATAATCAATATACTAAAATGCAACAGCGGAGGTGACAGAAAATCTCATGCAGAAAGTAACAGCTGATGCAGATCGGGTTAAGAGTAAGGGAGACAAGATGAAAGAATGACACATGATTCCTATATAAAATTCATCTTATACAATATTAAATTAGAGTTTATTTAAAGTGCATAAAAATAAATGAATAATAGAGTGAAAATAAAGAAATAAAAAAATATTTTTCAAAATATTTTTTAAATTAAATAATTTATTAAAATCTTGATTAAAATCAATAAAACACAATCGTTTTTTCAGTGAAAAAAGATTGACAACCGATTTAAAGTTAACTTTTTATCTGTTGGAGTATTTTTGTTTTTATACTTGTTATAATAGATTTTCTTAGTTGATTTGTAAAAAAATATTAAAAAAATGAGAATCCATACGATTTTATTTCTCTCTTTACTAATTTCTTTGATACTAAATAGACGCACTTTCCATTTTCAATATTTTCTCTTTCTTTTTTCTCCTTCTATATTTCTTAATTTGGTTGCTCTTATAACAACTTCATTTCATACAGATAGAGATTCACTAATTTTGAGAGATTTAATAATTCATATTCTTCATTAAATTTTAATAATTTAATTGTTAAATTAAATTTTTTAATAAATAAATAAAATTATTAATTTTTATAAATTTTGAAAATTATATAATATTTTATTATATATTCAAATCAAAATATAAAATATTTTTATAAATTTACATTAATTTGAATCAGTATAATAAAATATCAAATAGTTTTTTAATTTTGTAAAAAATTATAAACTTTATTTATTCATTAAAAACTTTTAATTTAATAGATAGATTGTTAGTATTTAATATAGACTATGATTTATTGAGTAAAGTGACTCTATTAAGAATTTTTATTTGAATAAATGCTTATTTGATGATGTTTTCTGTGCCTTCAGTTTTTCAACATCATTAAACCAGAAAAAGCAAAACTAAACATTGTGGGGTGCACAGAACTGTTAACTGACAGCTTCAGCTTTTCATTGAAAAGGGTGTGTCTTCACTTTGTATCAGGCATCTTCTGACATGAATGATGCATGCATACCGTACTACCCTGATATTTAAATTATTTTGTGTCCCTTTTCTCCTAGCCAGTTCCGGAACTAGATCTCTGTGATGAAAAAGAAGTTTGTAAAGTCCCTGGAAAACAACCTCGGTCAATTGGCAACATCATCTGATACTACTCATCGTAACAAGAAAAATGAGATAACGTAAATTAAGCAGTGTTATTCCCCATAACATAATACCTGCCAATTCTGTCTCTACCCTCGACAAATGTGAAACTCTATGCAAGATGTATGTATTCTCACAAAATGGAATGAGGAGAATTTGTTTTTAGAAATCCATGAAGGATAGATAGCCACACCTTATAATTAAGGTTTGTTAACTTTCACATGTAAAATTAGCGGGATCCAACAATAATCAATATACTAAAATGCAACAGCGGAGGTGACAGAAAATCTCATGCAGAAAGTAACAGCTGATGCAGATCGGGTTAAGAGTAAGGGAGACAAGATGAAAGAATGACACATGATTCCTATATAAAATTCATCTTATACAATATTAAATTAGAGTTTATTTAAAGTGCATAAAAATAAATGAATAATAGAGTGAAAATAAAGAAATAAAAAAATATTTTTCAAAATATTTTTTAAATTAAATAATTTATTAAAATCTTGATTAAAATCAATAAAACACAATCGTTTTTTCAGTGAAAAAAGATTGACAACCGATTTAAAGTTAACTTTTTATCTGTTGGAGTATTTTTGTTTTTATACTTGTTATAATAGATTTTCTTAGTTGATTTGTAAAAAAATATTAAAAAAATGAGAATCCATACGATTTTATTTCTCTCTTTACTAATTTCTTTGATACTAAATAGACGCACTTTCCATTTTCAATATTTTCTCTTTCTTTTTTCTCCTTCTATATTTCTTAATTTGGTTGCTCTTATAACAACTTCATTTCATACAGATAGAGATTCACTAATTTTGAGAGATTTAATAATTCATATTCTTCATTAAATTTTAATAATTTAATTGTTAAATTAAATTTTTTAATAAATAAATAAAATTATTAATTTTTATAAATTTTGAAAATTATATAATATTTTATTATATATTCAAATCAAAATATAAAATATTTTTATAAATTTACATTAATTTGAATCAGTATAATAAAATATCAAATAGTTTTTTAATTTTGTAAAAAATTATAAACTTTATTTATTCATTAAAAACTTTTAATTTAATAGATAGATTGTTAGTATTTAATATAGACTATGATTTATTGAGTAAAGTGACTCTATTAAGAATTTTTATTTGAATAAATGCTTATTTGAACAAATAACTTACTTAAGAACTTATATTATAAGTGTTTAAAATTCAATAAAATTTTACATTTGGATATACATGTTAACAAAGACCTGTGTAATTTAAAAATATTTGGATGTATAATTATTTAAGCAAGATGTTATCTCATTTTAAAAATTAAAAAATTATAAATTAAATTTTGACCATAAATAAAATAAAAAGTAACTAAATAGTTTTTAAAAATGAGATTATACATCACAATAATATTAAAAATAAAAAAATAACTAATCACTATTCACCTAATTTTAGTTTATAAAAAAAAGTTATTAACAAAATATGAGAAATCAATTATATATAACTATGATTAAAAATTAAGAACCATAAATTTTAAAAATTGAAAATAAATTCTATATATTTCATAAAACTATGGTTAAAAAATTATTATATAAATATCAACAACTAAATTATTCTAGATGTGATAATTTAAAGAAGAGAAAAAAGTTACGATATTTTTTGATAATAGGAGAATATGGATTTTAGAAGGAAGAGATAGAAACAAAAATTAAAGGAGAACAAAGGATATCAATATCACTTTTTTTTTACCCAATTTATTCAAGAACATCCATAATCTCAACTGAACATCAATCTACTTAAATTCAATCGAATCAGCCATGAATCACATATTTGATGATGATTCAACTACATGCAACTCAAAATATAACAATTCAAGCTCTAGCTAGCTTCCTTTATCTCTTAGGAAAAACAAAATCAACCAAGAGAGAAAGAGGGGAGAAGAAGCTCTGCGTGGATCTGAGCTTGGCTTTGCAATATAGCTTGAGGATGAACTCTCACAACTACTCACCAGTTACACAAAGAAGGGGAAGAAGAAGAAAAAGATCTTAAGAATAAGGAACAAAGAGTCAACTTCTCTAAATCTAACTTCACTATTTTAAGAACAAGCTTATGGAACCCCTTCCCAAGCCTTAATGTTACAATAAAAGTCATGTGGTATTTAATTAAGATAATTAATTTTTTAAAAAAATATTAAATGTAGTAATATTTAATTAAAATAATTAAGATTTTTTTAGGAGTACGTGAAAATTTGATAATATTCAATTAAGACTTTTTTTCACTTTAAAAAAGTTTGATAGTATTGAAAAACATAAAGATTGAAATGAATGAATTTCATGAAACTTTTTAATTAAATTTATATATAATTTACTAATTCGACAATCTTACTAAAACTATTAAAAATTTTGTATGACTTTTTTTTCTCGTTTATTTTTTTCCTTTTTTTCTCTCTCACCTTTTTTGCTTCTCTCATTTTTTACTCTCCCTCATCTTCTCTATCTTAGATATTTTTTCTATCTTTCTCCTCTCTTTCTTCTCATGTCTTCTATATTTCATATTGTCTTTCTATTTTCTTTCATCTTATTTATTTATTTATTTATTCTTCTACTTCTTGTCTTTATTTTTTCTTCTATCTTTTTTTATTTATCAGTATTTTTTGTTATATTTTTGTCTATTAATATTGATGTATAATTTATCAATATTTTTATTTTTTAATTATTAAATGTATATTTTTTTAAAAAAATTTATATATTATGTATCGTTATTTTTTAAAACCATTAAAATTGAACAAAACGCTTATTTTTATATTTTTAATAAAATTTAATATTGAAATATCGAAATTTTAAACATATATTAAAAATATATTTTTACAATTCTATAGGTAATGAATATCATAAATTTAAACATATGATTTAAATTTAATAGTATGAATGAGAAAATAAAAATGCATAGATGATTATATGTAGAGAAATGTTAATTAAGAGAACATGAATCCATACTCAATTATTTATCAAAAGATTGAAAAATTTACTAATTATGTTTTCTTTATTTAAACCTTGTCATTTTTGTGTGTAGAAAAATTGTATTATTTTAAAAAATTCATACTATCCTTTAAAATCTAGTAAAATCCTTTCAAATCTTACAAATTCTTAAGATACAAATTCATTAAAATGTATATACAAAATCTTGATTAAAAAAATGTTTTAATTTTTTTTTAAAAGCCTTTATAGTAAAAAAAAAGTGTTTTAAAATTCACAATATTTTTTATTTTAAAATAATTTTATAAAATCTCAATCCAATACATATTTTAAATGTGTTTGGTGCAATGAAAGTAAAAGAAGAGGGGCAATGAAAGTAGAAGTTAAATTTTTAAGTGTTTGGTATAAAGAATTTGAGGAGAAGTTATGGAAAGATTGAGCTTCATATATTTTTTTTCTTACCCTTTAATATTATAGGATTAGATGGAAAGATAATTTTTTTTAAGTAGTCAATTTTATAATATAAAGAAAATTGTGTAATTTAATTAATAAAATCAATTTCAATTCTTTATTTAATCTCATACAAATCAATTAAAAATTTATCATTCGCTTACTTTTTTTAACAAACAATAAAAATCTTTACTTTATTTCTTATTTATTTATTTATTTACTCTTTTCTTCTTTTTAATTCTTTATTTTTTATAAAAAAAATATTAATTTCCTTATTTTAATTAAAATGACTTTAACTGGAAAATAAACTAGATATTAGGAATGATTGTTGTTATCCAATAAAAGATACTATTAGATCTGGATGCAGAGAAGAAAAACACGTAATTTTTTTTTTTTAACCTTTTTTATACAGTAAAAAAGATATTAACTATTGAATTGTTAACGAACGAAGTAAGCCATCAGTATGACCAAATAAATGTTGATTAATTAGTCCATAGAATGGAATGCGTCGCATAATAATAATACAAATATCAAATTAATAAACAATAAATGACGATATATATATAGTTCATGTCTAACCGCGATCTCCGCTGTTTTTTCCCTTATTAATTATTCAGGCTTCAGGTTCAGGGTTTCCCATATTCCTTTCTCTTCAACCACAATTCTCATTCTCCTCTAACTATTAACTATTTAATCTTCCTCACATTCTTCTCTGTTTCGCATCTCGTTTCTTCCAGATTCAGCCAACTTGCTAATTGCCACTTTTCGTGTTCATCCCAATCAGGTGAATTTCTATCAACCTCTCAGATCCATTGATAATTAATGCTGTTGCTCATAGGTTGCTACCTAGCTCGCTCTTCAACTTTTATTTAGGTTTATTTTGATTTTAGGGTTTCTCTGCACGTGTCATAGTTACTTCTACTTGTCCAGATTTTGATACCGCAAATTGTCCAACCCGAGCTAAAACTTTTTTTTTTTTTTTCCCTGGTGTTTTTGTAAATCTGTGTGTTTTTTAATTCTGACAAATGTGAAGTGAGAGCTGGATGGAGATCATCGTGACGTGTATGACTTTCACAATTGAGAGGGTGGAAGCGAATTCAATTGCACGAGGGGGAGGGAGTGAAAACTATTTATTAGCGGTTCGGGGTGATTAAACTAATAAAAACACAGTATTAAGGTTAAACTGTCAAATAAATGGTTGTTGCTGCTTTCAAGTGTGTTGTTGTTAGCAGTTGTCGGTTTGTGAGGATTTACTTGCCTTTATAATGTGAACTTGCTTTTATTGTCTAGTCTCTGCGTGTGTATATCTGTTGGCTGAAAGGGAAGTTTTTTGTTCTTTCTTGTTAGAACATTGTTTATTCTTTTTTGCTATTTTCATAGATTTTAGGGCACTGAGAGCTTGAGATTGAATCATTCAACTCATTTTGAAAAAGGAGAGCTTGTCCTTCACTTCTTTTTTATTTGTAATTTCATGTTTATGCAGGATGAAGGTAGGCTTTAATGGATTAAGGGGTAAAGAAATTTCGCTTATTTCCATTGTTCTCATGTCTGGAACTATCCTTTTATGGTCATGGGAGAAAACACCTGGTCTTAGCACCTTTATTCCTCCTCAAACACCACCACTGCAGCTGTCTTCAGGTTTACTTCCATTTATAAAACTGTTTTCTTTGAAAAACATTGATATGGTATCCTGTCAATATGACAATTTTTTTTTATCTTTATATACATTTGTTTTATGAAGGTAAAAGTGTTGTTTTTGAAAACTATTAATTGCAGATTGAACAACTGTCTGGCGTAGAATTTGTACCCAAGTTTGAAAATTCATGCTGAATAATGCCCTTTGCATTGTTCTCAGTACTGTTTTTTGACGGGTGCTGTTTTACATGTATGCAGATCATTTAGTTAGTGGTCGTTCAGTCCAGGTGCTAGCACCAGATCCACGATTGGATGAAGATGGCTCATCACTGGCTAAGAAAAAGACGACCAATGAGCAAAAGGAACCACATCTCGAGAGAGCATCACTGACAGTTCCTGCACAAAGCACTTCTGGAGAGAACAAGGGTGAAGATGGCTCATCATATACTGAAAGTAAGATATTGCTTTCTTTAATCCTCTATGGTTTTAAAGGGTTTACAATGCCTTGTGATGTGCTACCATCCTGCATCAAATGAGCACGTGAACATATGTGACCTTTATATATGGTGCCTTGTTTATTTACTTATCCAGTTATTTGCTTTAGTGGTTGGAATGCTACACTTAACATTGCACTAAGCCAGATTGATAGGGATAACCGGATAAGTTAAAAGTATTCTTACTGTGTGTTTGGATCCTCATCAAGTAGGATTGGTTTTGGATCACAAAAGCAACTTATAGTTGCTTTTATGTCAAATTCAAGTACATAACATGAATTTGGAACAAATGTGGATCTATGATGCTCAACCAAGCACGCACTTAGATATAGATAATTTCTTCCAAAATTACATCTATTAGATGTCACCATCCTTTTAGCAATAAAACCATTATCACATGGTCTGTGTTTGCTTTCCCTCTCTGTTTATCTCATGTTGTCTTATTGGGGCTTATATCTTAAACTTCATTGAGATGGTGTAGAGATTCCTTCAAGTGTGTCAGATGAAGAAGCAAAACCTGAAAGCATCTTGGAAGGTGGGAAAAACCATGGCGTACAGACTTTTTCCAGCTCAGGTGAGGTGGAGAAAAGTTTGAAACAAGAAGAACACAAGCATAGAAAAGATTTTGTGACAAACTCTCCACAAATAAGCTCTTTAACTGGTGCAAAAGACGAGTTGAATAATGTTACTGAGAGTAAAGGTACAGGTTTTTCCGCTAATCATCTATAAAACTCTATTGGCAAGTTTCTCTCCTTTCGATGAGTTGAAGAAAGTTGATACATGCTTTTAAACTTGTTTTATGAAAACAAGCTTCCTTTTAAAGAATATCTCCGGATATTTCTAAGTAACCTTGTTTTTTTTCCCTGAAGAAAATGTGAAACATTAGGTCCATTTGTTTCAAAGTTGAGTAGAATTGATTTTGAAGGATCTAATTTTAACATAATTAGAATGTGTGCTCAAATTACTTTCAGATTCTGATTTTACATTAGAATGTGTCCCAATAAGAGGAATTGGTTATGAAGGCGAGCCAAACAGGCACATAGGTATAGGAAATAGGAAAATTGATACACATTCTTCAACTCATTTTTCAATAATGAGCTTCCTAATTAAGGGTATCTTCTAACTTTTGTAAGAAACTGTTTTTTATACCGAAGAAATCTTCAAACCTTTTATAAGTTAGAATGTTTACTGGTTTGTGTCTTCATTTTCAAGGGAATTACCTATTATATGGTAGCACTCCGTCACTATTACTTTGAGACTTGAGTAGGTGTAGTTATTAGTTAACAACATAATATTTTCCCATAGACTATTCCTGAGAAAACAAATTTCTCGTATTAGACAACCTGGCTGAAACTTTTTAAATTACTTTGAGAAGGTGTACTGTGTATTCTTCTGCAGGAGGGATGTACCATATGCACATTTATTGGACTATTGAACAATATTTACAAGTATTGATAACTAATGTATGTTCCCTTGTTGACTCTTTATCCAGTCTGTAACTATGCAAAAGGAAAATGGGTCCCAGACAACAAGCGGCCGTTGTATTCAGGTTTTGGTTGCAAACAGTGGCTATCAGGGATGTGGGCTTGCCGCTTGATGCAACGTACTGATTTTGAATACGAGAAGCTTCGATGGCAACCCAAGGATTGTCAAATGGAGGAATTTGAAGGTTCTAAATTCTTGAGAAGGTATTTCATTCTCTTGATCTATATATATATATATATTGATTTAACTTGTGTCATTGTACGATTTGGTGCTGAACTTTGTGATTTTTTAATAATTCAGTTCATTTTAAGCCGTAGACTCATTCAAAATGATTGAAGAGTATGATGCACTCCTCAATTGTCTTGAAATAGGGTTGGACAGTTTTAGTTGACGGCATGTGTAAGCATGGTAGTCATGTTACTACTTAATTTAGTCTATTTTTGTTCTGATCACAAGACTGATGCTTTTTGAGATACCTTTTTAGTTTTGTGGATTTCTTCTGGTTTAGGAAACAAATTGTTACGACTTTCCCATCTACATTTTCAGTTCTTTTATTGGAATGTTCTTGGGTTCAGCAGAAAAAATTCAAGAAACATATGATCACTGATAATAATCTTTGTTAATTTAGGATGCAAAACAAAACTCTAGCTTTTGTCGGAGACTCGTTGGGCCGGCAGCAGTTTCAGTCTTTAATGTGCATGATCACTGGTGGTGAGGAGAAGCTTGCTGTTGAAGATGTAGGAAGGGAGTATGGATTGGTTATAGCTGATGGCTCTGCCCGTCCTAATGGGTGGGCATTCCGTTTCTCAAGCACTAATACTACCATCTTGTACTACTGGTCGGCTAGCCTATGTGATGTTGAACCTATTGATGTAAACAATCCAAACACAGATTATGCAATGCATCTTGATCGGCCACCAGCATTCTTGCGCCAATATCTCCACAAGTTCAATGTCCTGGTTCTCAACACAGGTCACCACTGGAATCGGGGAAAGCTCAACGCTAATCGATGGGTAATGCATGTTGGTGGTGTGCCAAATACTGATAGGAAGATAGCAGTGATTTGGGGTGCCAAGAATCTTACGATTCACAGCATTGTTAGTTGGGTGAATTCACAGCTTCCAAAACATCCAGGTTTGAAGGCATTCTTTCGTTCCATCTCTCCTAGGCATTTTTTTGGTGGGGACTGGAACACAGGAGGCAGTTGTGACAACACCAAACCGATGTCCATTGGAAAGGAAATATTGGAAGAGGAGTCCAGTGATCAAGGTGCTGCAAGTGCGGTAAAGGGGACAGGGGTTAAACTCTTGGACATAACAGGTCTTTCTCAGCTAAGGGATGAGGCTCATATATCACGGTTCAGTATTACAGCGAAGCCTGGTGTGCAGGATTGCTTACACTGGTGTTTGCCTGGTGTTCCTGATACATGGAACGAAATACTCTTTGCTCAAATATAGTTTGCTCATTATGGTGCTCGGAGAGTATTTGGTCGGTGTTGAAAAGGTTACAACCATTCCATGGCTTGGAAAGGGTTACTCACTTTCAAATCCAGTTTTTCAGAGGACGCAGTCATGTGGTTGCAATATGTCCTAGCTGAGTTCGTACTTCAGAGCTGATCTGATGAGATATTTGAAGTCGTACGGTGCAGAGATTTGTTATATCGCATTGCCTTAAAAATAACTTTGACTACGCAAATTTTGAGGTCTTCTGTGGTATAACTTATTTGAGATGTAAATTAACTACTCCATACGGCCTACACATGGCAAGCGTTCAACTGAAAAGAAGGTAGATAGACAAAGATGCAGAATAGGATCATTCGAAGATTTTACCAGGAAGTGATGTCTTCACAATGTATTGTTGTAGCAGAGGTTGAAGTCAATAGAACAGGAAAACGCCCGTGCTCTCTATTTAAAACAATTTGGGCAGGGTGGAACATAATTTATTCATGGATTTTTTATATAGCATATACCGATTCATTTCGTGCTGAATGTGATATACATATATATTCTACGGACAATATTACTAGTGGGGTCTCTGAGTACAATAGTTATGCCGACCACTCTTTTATGTCCTCATCGATCAACTGATACGCCCATGATACGTTGCAACCGTATTTAATAGCGTGATGTTAGTTTGTCTATTAATAATGTATGTGCATCTTCTCTATACCACAATTGAGCAATGATATACATGCTACCTCTAATCCTTCAACTTGCTCGCTGATAATGCTGTTGTATATTTCCTTCGTGGGATTTAGTTGGGCTCGTTGGCACCCTCCCTCTCAACAACAAAAGAAAGTAGAGACCATTTAGAAAGTCTGACATCTTTAAGAAATGTTAACAACATATCTTCTTAACACATCTTTTGGGACATATATTCTTTTTACTATTAATCTAAATTTATTTGAAATCACTTTATTTCGTGAGTCACAGTTTTAATTTAATTTAATTTATTTACAGTTTTATAATTTTAATATCCAAGTATGGTAATTAGGTGATTTTAGTCTAGATGTCAATTTTTCATTAAAAACTTGACTGATTTTGCGGATATAATATTGGCAAATGACATGACAAATAACGCGGTATTGGCAAATCATATGACAGTGGTGTGTAGTAATGTCAATAAAATTGTCAAAATGGAAGAAATGATATTCAAATCTCTTTACTCTAAACTTTACCGACACTTTTGGTATGCAAAATCTTAATTTTCTTGAAAATTTTAAATAAAAAATTTTAGTTTTTCAAGGATAGATATTAAAAAGAATTTTTAAAAATAAATTTTTTAAAAAGTATTTTTATCACATTTTTTTTCATAAAAAAATTTCATGGGTGAGAATTTAACTTTTTTGAGTTAAGGAAATTTTTTTTTATATTTATAAAAAGATTATAATATTCTTTTTTAAGACAAAAAACTTCATTAATATATTTTTTATTCATTATCACATCAAATATGAAAACACATTGATTTTATCAACTAATTAAAATATAAATTAAATTAAATAATTCTTTAGGTATGTTATTTTTTTATCACTTTTAATTATATTATTTTTTAAGAAAATAAAATAAGTTTCATGTACGAACTTTTAATAAATTATTTTTTTATTATTATTATTACAAAATATTTTATTATGAATTATTTTTTTATCACTTTTCTTGTTATTCTAATAATAAAAATTAAATAATTATACAAAAAAAAAATTATAAGATACAATATTTTATACTCATTTAAAATTCATAAATTATAAAATTGCAATGCTAATTTCTTACTATCATTTTTAGCCTCTAAATTTATCAAATTATTTAAGCAAAATATTTTTATATATGTTTTTTCTTATTGTTTTCTAGTTTACTTATATTTTTATTTGATTTTTAATTTAATTTTTTTTTCTTATTATGGTAAAATCAGGAAAAATATATTTTATACTTTGATTTACTGTGATTTTGCATATAGTCTAATCATATATAAATTATTGATTTGTTGTTTTAAGCTAAATAATTATTAAATATAATTATTAAATTGTTGTTTTAACCAAAAAATTAATACTTTAACCAAACATGAGAATCTTTATTTCTTGAAAAATATATATTAATATTCACTGAAATTTTTATGAATAATCAAACAGATTTCAATCATTTTCAGGAATCATGATTCATAGAATTTGTAATTTCTATGAATCATGATTATCGGAGTTTGTAATTCACAGGAATCGTGATTTTCGGGTATAAAAAAACATCTCCCCAACCAAACACTCCCTTAATTACTAAGGTAAATAATTTCTTTAACATATAATTAAAGTTATAATATATATTTTAAATGAAATTTTAAATTTAAATTACTCATATTTATTACTAATAAGTAAAAAAATTATATATATATATATATATATATATAGTTTTAAATATTATTTTTAAAATAATTACTACACAACCAACAATTTGACACATCCAATATTGATAAAAATTGATTCAGTTAATAAATAACAAACTCAATTCCACAAGAACACGAGTTTGATTTTCACAGCTAATATGATAATTTTATCGGGAAGTACCTCTCATTCATGACTTTAAAGAGCAATCAAAACGACTCACTTATATTTTTAAGCTCATTTTTTTTACATATAACATAACGTATAATTAAACAACAACGTCAACATATATACTACTATATTATAAACTAGTTCTTTAACTTATATAATGTTGCACCAATTTAGTCGAGGAAATGAACTCAACCATATATGTTACTAAGGTAACATGTTAATATGAATTCAGCTATAAATGTCATCGAGTTAATATATTGACCTATACTAATAATTAGAGAACATGCATAATCAAGTTAGTATATCAACTCGATATTTGTACAAAAAGGTAATAAACACAAAAGGTAGTATATTTACATGTCAATTATAATGGTTATAAAATCAATGTAAATGAACAATTACAATTAACAAGAAAAAAGGTGTATAACATAATTTAGGGTACACCCAACAAATTAGACTAACTTAATGATCAGACTTTTTTTTGCATATACCTTTGCTGCTAGGAAACAAAGATCAACAACCATGTGAACCAACATTAATTCACAAGGATAAAAAGTGATCTTACAGAAAAACATATTCATTCAAGTTTATCTTGATAAAAACAAATGCTTTAGATAATTTTTATTTTATACCGGTAAAATCGAGGTACTTCATACTTCTATATTTTATTTAATAAAAAAAATTTAAAATTATCAAGGTTTGTTAAATTAATTAGTGTTACACTTAATCCTCAAACCTTATAGTCTCGGATTAGTGTTGTATTTTTAAAGGTGATAAAATTTTAATATTATTTTTTATTATTTAAAAATTTAGAAATAAAATTATCTAAAAAAATGTATACATTAAATTAGGTTATAATCTTTATATATATATATATATATATAATGGTGTAGGTCATCAATTTACTTTTTCGCTTAAATTTTCTTTTTATGATATAATTTATGTATTGTCTC